GATTGACCGTCACATTATAACGCCCCCACGGCTGAAAGGGCGAGCATGTTTGGTGGGATGCGGATTCGAAAATAAAGTGTTCTTGATCTGGCAGTCGTGTTACTTCATCGTTTTCGCAAACTGACTGTTATTTAGAATAATGAATTACTACAGATGAACTGTAGCAAATACTGTGATGAATACAAATCAAACCTTGTGCTGTCGAGTGGGTTGAAAGGCCCAATCTGTCGCTTCAAAATAATATCTGATGTATTAGGGAAAAACCAATAACAAGAAAAAAAAACAGTTTAGAAGTAGTTGCTGTTGTAATCTATTTTAATATTTTTAAACACTTTAGAAAAAACTTTAAATTTTCCAACTACTTTTTGACGTTATTGCTGATCAATCGACAGAAAAAATAAAACAAAACGTCTGAGCTTAAAAATGCTAAAAGCAAGTGTCAATAATGAGAAATTAATTAAAAGGGACACTGAGGAGGTGTGTGTAGAAAGGCATATTACCTCTCTCGTTCTTAAGGCCAGAAAACTACATATTCAAAAATAGTCAGATTTCACTATCCTTACCTTTTCCTTAGCATAGAACGTCTAATTATTTCAACATGCGTAATGAAAGAAATCTAAGTAACTGAATCAGTCGCTTAGTCTAGGAGGTTTGTTTGTAGTTAAGCACAAAGCTACACAATGGGCTATCTGTGCTCTACTCACCACGGGTATCGAAACCTGGTTTTTAGCGTTTTAAGTCCGCAGACATAACGCTGTGCCACTGGGAGGCTAGTCTAGGAGGAGCAGACTAAACTTGTAGACTGTATGAGCATTAAAGACTGTTGAACGAATATGAGCTCTTTTCATACTCTTGTTGTTCATAATCTCGTAAAAGAAAATAAAATAAGATACACAAGTAAGATTTCTTTATGGTTTGAATTTCACGCAAAGCTACACAAGGCTTATCTGCGCTAGCCGTCTCTAATTTAGAAGTGAAAGACAGTGGAAGGCAGCTAGTCATCACCACCCACCGCCAACTCTTGGGATATTCTTTTACCAACGGCTGAAAGGTCGAGCATGTTTGGTGAGACGGGGCTTCGAACCCGCGACCCGCATATTGCGAGTCGAGCGCCATAACCATTTAGCCTAGCCGGACAGATTTCTTTATGGGTATAATTTTAAATAGAAGGACTTTGGACGTTTATGACAAAAACAAGAGACATTGATTTAATACAAAAAAAAAAAAGAAAACTGATCCGTCAAAATCAGTATTGTTGGAACGTGAGCTAAAAACTGAGCTCTCAATTTTTAGCCGTGGCATAGCGGCTCATAGAATGGCTCAGAGTTTTTTTCATATACAAACTTTTAGCTCATAGCTCCATCTCTTGACCGATTTGAGATCTAATTAATGTCGCGGCTAATGAGGATTCCCTCTTTTTTGTTTTTGTTTTCTGAGTTCAAAATTAAGATTATAATTATATAAAGCTCTTGTGATACGTTGTAGCATGTTTTTTACGAAGCTTTAACAACTTAACAATTCTTTAAAATGCTGCATATGTAAACACTTTCATTGATTTTTAGCGCTCTCTGATGGCAATAAATCAATTTTCGCTTATTATGTAGAAAACTGAATGTATGTTGTTGTTTATTTAAGTACAACACTAATTGTTAGTTAGTTAATTTTATGGTAAAGATTTATGATTATCTGTCATCCCTAATTTTTAAAATGATACACAAGTTAAAAGAAAAGCAGCTAGTAAACACCTTCTACCACCACCTCTTTGAATACTCTTTACCGACGAATAGTGAGATTGACCATAACGTTATAACGTCCTCACGACTTAAAGGGCGGGCACTGTCAACATCAGGCTTCGATCCTACGAACCGCAGGTTGGGAGTCGAGCATATTAACCATCAATGGATGTAAACGAATCAATATTATTCGAAACTTCAAACAAGGTGACAATTTGTGGAAAGCGGGTATCGCTTAGTTGTAAAATGTCCTATTGATTTTAAACCACTGTATTGCAAACAGTGTGTTAGTAACATGTTTCAATCACAAAGTTAATTTATTATTCCAGCATTTAAACGTGAACAATCCAAATATAATGCTTACAGTTTAATACGAAATTAATCTAATTTACATTTCTATGGTAATATAATACATAATCAACAAGGTAGTTTTAAAATGAGTCTATATAATAAACCAACTTTTTCAGGAGTGCATATTCAGTTTGTTAGTTTCATCCCTACATCATTTACTGTTAATTTAAGGGGAGTTTTGTCAATACAGTTGTTATGTTGCGGTTGATTATTATTATTATAAACTCTATTTTATTCGGAAACGCATTTACTGTAACAATTGTTTCACTGATATGAATATTAGTGTAATGTTGATTAAACTGTTTATTCTCAAAGTCTTGATGTGCCTAAGAAACCAATAGTAATACTTTTAACTCGTATAGGACAACAGTAACAAAAAGAAGTTAGCTTCAATCCTGAATAAAATTCATCAACAACAGCTACAAATTAGATGTGTTAAAACCTGTTACAATAATTTAATAGCTAACTTCACTTAAGGATTCGTCCTTAAGAATGAGCGGTTGTTTGTGTTAATTAAAAATCCACGCATCGTTATTGTGCGGAGGAATACGTTGACCCTTTCACACCGCAAGGCGGTTGGATAGCGTATAAGAAAAGAAAGTAATCTTGGAAAACCTAAAAGTTCTTTATGCAATGCACGGAATGTCTTTGAAAGAAACTGTTTGTCACCACTTTTACTTAAGAATACCACAAGTGTTACGTCGATATTATTACTACTTTTTTAGTATCTACTGGAGCTGAGGGTGAGCGGCAATTATGAGTTCATCAGTGCTAAACTAGAGCTAATTATAAATCCAACAGAGTATGGTTAGTGTTAACCTGGAGTTGATTTTGAATAATTAGAACTCTACAATACTACTTTCCAAATCATGAGTTTCTTCTAATTTTCCAAGGCTTTAATTAAACAACTCATTTTTGTGAAATATGTACTTATTAATAAATTATTTTTCGTGAGTAATACCACATTATTCTTCATTCTAGGGTATCTAAAGACTGTTTTTCTTTATTAATATAAAAAGTCATCAGAGACAAGGTTTAAGACCAGTAACCTTACGTTAATCTACCACAAGGTAACTAAATAATCATGGTTAAGAATGGATCAACTACAAGTAAACACAGTATATTACAATGTAAGTTTCAGAGCCAGCTAAATTTAAAATACCTTTTAAGATTTTTTAAACAACGAGGACAAAGCTATTTTAGGAATTACTAGCAATGTAGTTGTGGGAATTTAAAACTTAAGTGTGTATTGGAGAGTGAGGCTAAACTTTCAAATTAACTTTCCCTGAGAAAACTGGCAGTGTATAGATTCATACAAAAAGTCTTTTTTTTTTTTTTTATGTTACAGCACCAACTTGCGTTGCGAGTTTATTAACAATAACAGAGTTGATGGTGTTAGGTAACTTTGCAAGATGTGTCACAGTACTGAGTACCTTAAACTAGACTTGTATAAGACTTGTCACAGTTTTGAGTACCACTAGACTTGCATAAGACTTGTCACAGTTTCGAGTACCGCTAGACTTGCATAAGACTAGTCACAGTTTCGAGTACCATAAGGTAGACTTGTATAACACTTGTCACAGTTTTGAGTAATATAAGGTAGACTTGTGACAAAATTTAGTATCTTAAGCTTTACTTATATCGTGAGAGCGTTGAGTGCCTCAAGTTGGACTTAGATCTGACTTTGATGGTGGCGTCATCTAGGAGGTAGGAATACAACTAAAGTACATACAAAAGTGTGGAAATGCAGCAAAAATAGGAAAGGTAACTGAAAGCGAAACAAACATAGCAGCGGATACACGTCATCTATCAGATTATAGCTTTATTATTTGACCCTATGGTTTGGTTGTTTGAAAATTTATAAAAATAACTCAATGAAGTAAGGAAATACTATAGTGTTAAATTCTTCTTTAGATGTTAAAATACACCCAACTCTTTATGTTTTAGTTATACATATATTCGTATAAGTATAATTTGTATACATAATTACCTGTAAAAGTGGACTGTTCTCGAAGTTGTACGCGCTAGGCCTACCTTCCAATGTACTAAATGCAACGTTCCCACCCGTAAGCGGTGATATGTCACTAAATTCAGACGTACACAATGCCTTTCTCTCCTCGTCCCTGCTGACATAGGAACTATCGGGTAAAAGATAAGTTTCCCTACAGGTGGCGCTATAATACTGGTAAGGTATCCATGGTCCATCTTCACTCGTACGCTTGTAAATAGCAAAGCTTTCGGGTCGAGGAGTATGAAACTTCAAACGCACATACGTGATGTCAAAGGCTTTCGCTATTTAATAAGAGAGAATTAGAAATTTAATGTTCTTAATTGATAAACAATTCAGGAGTTTTATAGCATATTTATAATAAATAATTCATCATATATTAAGTGATAAATAACATTTCAGTTGGAAGTTTAACGATAAATTTAAGCGTGGTATTATACTTTTAATTTATGTATAATTGCTGCTTGACCAAAAATTAGAAATACTAACTAATACATAACTATTACGAAGCTAAGACTGGTAATAGTTGTCTCTAAGGCGATAATAATTACAATCTGAATACAATTTCGTGTTATTATAATGAAAATATTTAGATCAATCATTTTCTCATGTGTTTACACAAATTATATGTAGCTTTTGTCTTTTTCAGTATTAAAAATAACTAATATAGGTTTATTCTGCGTCATTACCTAACTGATCTTAATAATTTGCTTGAAATATTTAAACCTCGTGTCCTGAATAATGTTCATTTTATAATTTAATTAGATCAATTCTATACAGCAACTGACAGGCGCATATTATTATAAATCAATGAGCAAGGCAAATATATATCTCAAAATGTTCAGTTTCAAGATTACATTACAGGAAAATTATTAATTTTTTGCAATTCCTATATTTTATTCCCATATTTTACCGGGTGGTAAATCTATTAGTAGTATGTGTGTACATTTTACTTGAATTTCTAATAAATAAATAAATATGTTTATACTAACTCCTTGTCGAAAAGAAGTGGATAAAATTTCAAAATTTTTGAAGATTAGTTGTATCTGTACTTCATCGTAAAAAATATCAGTTTCTAGGTCCAGAAAGAAGAAAGAAGATTTTGAAGTTTGTAACCAATGTATAATATGCAATAAACTTAAATCATAAATTATCAAGCACATACTTAAGCGAAATTAGTGTTGACTGGTAATACTAGGCACAGTAAACAGTAAGTAAAATATTTGTATTTCAGCAAAGCTACTAATGCTTTCTACCGCCGTCCCTAATTTCAAACTAATAATCAGAGAAAATACTGAAAATCAGCATCTCTCTACCATCCATCCAAAGGAATTAACTGGTACTCTTCCAATGCATTTACAATTTAAAGTGCAGGGAATATTTTGTAGTACCGCATGAATTCAAAGTCGTTAACTCCGAAATCCAGAGCTCTAACACAGAGCCAATCCGCGCCCTAAAAATAAAGAAAGTTATTTCTTAAATATCATTTTCAACTAACATGTCTTTGTAATAGTATTTAGTATGTCATGTATTAAATTAAATTCGTTGCAGAAACAACAAAAAATGCTACTAATGAGTAGTGAAATTCCTCCAAACCAGTTATAACTCAATGATGATTCCTCCAAACCAGTTATAACTCAATGATAATTCCTCTAAACCAGTTATAACTTAATGACAAGTTGAATCGAATGATGAATTGGGCTTCGTATTTATTTATTGCTAATAAATGGTGATGGATAAATAACATCATTGTCTGTTACAATTATTGTGATACGAATTTATTCACTTTCAGCTTTTATTTATATAAATATCTGGCAAAAAATATACAAGTGTATGCATATTTCTTTCATCTGAGGTACGTTTGATTCAGAATTAACGCAAATGATAGAACTTTAGCTGTGATAAAAAACAAAAAAGTCACTTATCACTACCACGAGAGGGCGAGGTTGGCCCTGTAATGGAGTTCTAGGTTTTGGAGCTGATGAATCGGGTTTGAATAATTTCAGTACCATAAAACATTACCCGCATTTTAAACCGTGGGTGGGTTATAAGTGATAATCAATAGCTTAGGATGGATGGTGAGCAGTAGGGTGCTGCTGAATGGCTGCCTTCCCTCTGATCAATAGTTCAAAGTTAGGGATGGCGACAAATAGCCTTAGTTGCTTTGCCTTAAATATAAATACTGTCACAATTAACGATAGAGGTCACCTCTGTTATCATACAGAGGTGATCTCTATCGTTAATTGTGACAGTATTTATATTCAACAATCAAGAATAATTATTCAAATACCGATAAAATATTGTGATATCTAAATGGATATGTTAAACAATACTGGTGTTATCTCAAAACTTGGAAAAATCTAGACAAAACAAAAGAGAAGTTATGTTAATTTACGTAATTACGAAAGTTTTGATTTATTCAATCTTTATAATTACATTAATAACAAAGTAAATGAAAATACTGTGTTGTTTTAAGTCATGAAAAGTTATAAAAATCTCTTTTAGGTTAAAAATCTGAAATAACATACTATTATTACCACGCCAAATCAGAAATGAACAAAGATACAAAACAGTTAACATCGAATGCAGAAATTCGTGAAATACATCCTAATGACTTAAACTGAAGCTCTCGTAAACTGTGGTAATTTTCATGAACAGTTAGCAGCTGTTCATGGAGGCCAAAGATTCCAGTACCTTCTCCCCTATCCTCCACCCCGAAAAAAAAAAAGAAACTTCCTCGGTCAATTGCTGGTAAGCTAGCAATTAGGACAAAAACAATGATCTGTTTAATGGCTTTAAGTATATAATTAGAGGATTTTTTATAAAGTAGCGAAGTGTCCCCGGGATATAAAAATTATATATAATTAGCGCACGAGATATTGACAACATTATATATAATAAAAAAAAAGAAGTCAGGTACTCGGTCTCCATCCACTTGTAGATAATTAAATATACCCTTAGACAACGAATTTAACTTACCACCGAAAATGCTCTATATCACTAAACTTTGTTTTTATGACTAGACTGAAATTGGCAACATTTGGAAACATATTAAAAGGGTTCAATAGGTTATGTGTTTATCTTTTACACAAATGTTAAAATAGATAAAAATGACATTCGATATTTCTAAAGTCATGACAAAACATAAAGTTGAACACTTATACCACGACCTGAAAGTGCTTCCAATATTTCAACCAAACCATTTTGTAGTTCAGTGTTAAAGCTCCTAATACTCAGAACCGAACAGAATGCGCTATAATACTGCGTAATGGCTTAAGTTAACGAATATGATACATTTCATGTCTTAAGTTGCTTTCTTATGTATTGAAATACAATACTTTTAATATGCCCGTCACTACTTTCCAGCCATAATATTGGAAGTAATATCCGAATCGTATTTTTCTATGAAAACTGCTCTCGAATTCTTAAAAGCTTCATTTATAATTGGATTTGTTTTTGATTTAGAGCAAAGCTGCACAGTGGCCCGTCTGCGCTGTGTACGCCGAGTGGATCGAGCCTTGGATTCTGGCGTTATATAAGCCCTGGAGCTTACCAATCTTTGAGCATCCTGGGTTTCTCACTCATATTTCTGGTTAGGTGGTCCATCAGTCCTTGGACGTAGAGTCATAAACTGTGATGGTTGGTTGTATATGGTGGTCTCTTCAACGTCAAGTGGTAGAGTCATAAACTGTGATGGTTGGTTGTATATGGTGGTCTCTTCAACGTCAAGTGGTAGAGTCATAAACTGTGATGGTTGGTTGCATATAGTGGTCTCTTCAACGTCAAGTGGTAGAGTCATAAACTGTGATGGTTGGTTGCATATGGTGGTCTCTTCAACGTCAGGTGTTAATGTAAAGGCTACTTATAAATGATGCTCAAACTTTTTTTTTTTTACTCGTGTGACCCACTTTAATTGAATAGCAGTGAGGAAGTAGTGCATTCCTCGATGTTCAATACCAGAGACCACTGGAGGCCATTTTTATCTTTTTTGATTCTTTCTTCCCGATAATTTTCCTGTTTGTTTCGAATATTCATACAAAACTACTCGAGGGTCAGCTGCGCTAGCCGTTCTCAATTTTAAATCGATAGCCGCTAAAGGAAAGACAGCTAATTAACAGCCTCCATCGCCAATTTTTGGGCTACTCTAATCGAATAGGAGGATATGACCCTTACTCCTATAACGCATCCACGGCACCAAAATGCGGAGTGTAACTCTGCGGCAATTGGGACTTGAACCCCCAGATCCATAGTCCAGCCCACTAACCATTAGGTCATGTCAGAAACGAGAATTTCATCACAACGTCTAAAACCGTATAGCAATCAACGAATAAATTTCTGTCGAAATTCACACGCCTGAAAACTTAAAATTTACCTGGTTCGCTACAAAAAATGTAAAATTTTCATTTCATACTTGGCTATTTAGTGGCACAAACAGTAGTTTAAATTAATAGGGATCTTGTGAAAACTCATACTAACTAAGCAGAACTATTATCACACTATCTCACATGCCTAATTATTCAAATGTTTTTATTAATCATATTTTGAAAACATCTCTTTCTTTAGTTAAATTGGCAGTTTTATTTTTTAAGCTCAATTCGCTTACGTTTAAGAAAAACGTTTGGCCCATAAAATTGTAGTTGCATACTTCATATATCTAATAAGGCTGCTATTCCAATGTTATAGTTAAGGACTTAAAGTAAAAAAAAATCACAATTTCGGGGTAACATCCTTAAAACACGAATTGCGCATCAAACTATATAGTGTCAATAGGTCCAAATATTACCTTCATTTAACAAATATCGTATATATAAACCATTCGTACTTGACTCAGCTAATATTTTAGCCTAAAAACACGATACATTATAAAACAGGATGCTGAAACAGTAAATTTTCAACTAGTTTGTTCTTTGCGTTTTGGTATCTCATCCATACTTTAACAAACTCGAACAGACTGTAAACATCGAATAATATTTGGTTTCATCTCGCAATACACGTGTCAAATTGTGTTGTTACGTGAGAACTTATCAATACGAAAGGAATAGTACTGGACATAAGCTCCGCTTTTACACAGAATCATCGACTAATGGCAATATAACATATTCATGTTTTGATGCCATCTATTGGTGTAAATCAATTATATTTAGCTCTGAAGAAAAACCTTAAGAATTCATAGTTCAACATATCAAACACTATTTCAACACCTACAAATAAGTTTAATCAATCAACTGAAACAAACTGAAAATAAATAAGTTTTATCTTCCAAGGTAACCGATGAATGTTTAGG